GATGAAGTTTTTCGATATGTATTGCATATTCAGCTGGTGTACAGTATGGTGGATGCGGATGAGGAGAAAGGTCGCAGTGAATCGGTTGAGGTGTTCTTCGCAGGTTCAACCATCCGAGCGCTTGGCAACAAATGCAACTCAAATTCATCCTCCAATTTAAAAACTGCCCTCTATGATAACTGTTTGTATGAGGTGGTCAATAGTCAGAACAACAATAACTTGTATTCGAAACCTGTGAAGAAATGTCCTATTGTTACTGATATGTAAGCCAATGTACACTGTTTTCTACTTTTTTCCAGATGATCCCGAAACTTTTACACCACGCTTTTTCTAGAGGACAGCACTGGGTAGCATTGATTCCAGGCTAAAAATATGGATTTGTTTTGGCCAATGGGTTTTTGTGGCGCCGCTAGCAGTGCTACTAACTTCCCAGAGACGGAATGCAGAAACTGGGTTATCCTCCGGTCGACTAATAGCATTATTTTTTAAAAACATGTGCAAACACAGTAAGAGAAAAAAAGATTTATTCGAAAGTGTTGTCGAAAAGTGCGCAAAATAAATAGCAAAAGTGGAAAAATCTGCGAAACTGATTCTAAACTTTAAAAAAAGCGAAAATTGTCTCTAAAGAGAGAAAAATCTGAGAAAAATTGTAAAAACTGAAAGCGAATTCCATAAGATGATCTTGTCCTCGACATCGGTCCTTCAACCTGAAATGACGAGAAATTTCAGATTTTCCAAAACTCCTGTGATACACTAACGAGAAGTAAAGAAAAGATTTTTTAAAAAAACTTTGCTAGATTGTTTTGAAATTTTTTAAAAAGTAAAAAATGTTTAGAACTTGCAAAATTCTTGTGAGGTACTAAAAAGGGAGTAAAAAAATTTTTTTACAATGATTCTTTCGTAATTTGTTCAGAACATCTCAAAAAACAAAAAAAAAAACAAAATTTGAGGAAATTTTCGAGCTGTTTAAAAAATTTTTTTTGAAAAAGTTTTTTTTTGAACAAGCGGAATTCTTCGTTCAGTTGTGCTTCGCAGTAATTCTGCAGTTTCGCGGTACCTGAAAAAAGCCAATTTCAAAAAATTCTTCTTTCATGCATTAAGTATCTACTAGATAAAAGAATTTGAACTTGAAGTTTATACAAAACCCAGGCTGGAACGCACCAGGCGGGCCGGTGCGATTATGCGTTTTTGCACTTCTCGTGCC